TTCTCCTCTTCTCCTTCCATAAATTGCAACCACTCCCTAGAGACTGAGAGAACATTGACCAATTTGGGTAATTAGCTCTATTAGTGAGATTTTTATGGGCCATAAAGAGACAATAACCAGTTTTTCTAGTCATCCCTCACTGTAGCTCAATTAGTTACGAATATCTATGCCTCTTCATCCATGGCCTTCACATTGAGAATTATCTCTTTGTAATCATATTCATCTTTAGGACAGAAACAGACTATTCACTGGGCACAGGAAATGGAGGTCTCTTCAGATTTTCACTTCGTTATTATGGCTCAGCAAGGAAGGAGCACAACCCAGTAAGCATTAAGGGAGATTATTGTATTGTTAGAAATATGGTAATTATTGATTTGTAATCATGAACTTCATGGGTAGGAGAATGCCAATGTAAAACAACTTCTTTTTTTTATATTTTCTTTTTTATATTTATTTTTATTTTATTTTATTTTATATAACAAAGTCCAATTAAATGAAAACAACCATTTATACACAATATTTGGGAATTTGGGCATCGTTCTTTCTAAGCTACTTCCTGCTGGTAAGGGGTGCTGTCTTGGGGGGGGATTCGAAGAAGATTCAGATATCCTGGCTGTAGTCTGTAGGGCTGTTTTGTCCAGCTGTTTTGAATGTAGGATCACCTTGTACTCTGCTTCAGGCGGTCTGGCATGACCAAAACACATTAGTCTGGAAGGAATCCACATCTTTTCATTTTCTGTGGAAACAAAAATAGAAATCCTTTTCCCCAGTAACTTGTCCTTCAACTTAAATTTTGGAGTCAAAGCATTTTTTAAATTTAATTTATTGTTTTACATGTCGATCCCAGTTCCCTCTCCTTCCCTCCCTCCCTCCCTCCCCCCCAACCTTCCCTCCCCCCTTCCCTCCCTTTTATCCTCTCTGCCCTCTCACATGCACTCTAAACACCCTCCCCTCCCATCCCCCACCCCAATTCCATGTGTAGGGGAATGCCATCTAGTTAGGGTCATGTAGATCTGACAGGTCCTGTGAAGTAGTGACTAGGGCTTCTCTACTGTCTCTAGATTAAGGCAGTTATCCCTCCCTGGGGGATGTGTTCACAAAGTCCTTTTGTGCACCAGGGATACATCCTGGCTCCACTGTCTGAGGTCCCTTAGACTGCTCAGTCCTTCTGGCTGAGACCCATATTCAGGGGGGCCTGAGTCAGTTCCATGCTGGCTTCCCAGCTATCAGTCTGGGGGCCCATTAGCTCCTCCTTGTTCAGGTAAGCTGTCTCTGTGTGCTTCTGCCACGTGGTCTTGTCCTCTCCATCTGCTTCTGGGTTCTAGTTTGACTCAGTGTTTATGTATGGGTGTTTGCTCCTATTTTCAACAGGCATTAGTTGAAGGCTCCATGGAGAAGTTTCTTCAAGTGCCATCCACTTACCTGCGAATTTCAAGATACCATTATTTTTTTCTGCAGAGTAGTATTCCATTGTGTAGATGTGCCACATCTTCATTAACCGTTCTTCAATTGAGGGGCATCTAGGTTGCTTCCAGGTTCTTGTTATTACAAATAGTGCTGCTATGAACATAGTTGAGCACATGTCTTTGTTGCATGGACGTGGATCATTTGAGTATATGCCTAAAAGGGGGATTGCCAGGTCCTGTGGTAGACTATTTCCCATTTTCCTGAGGAACCGCCATACTGATCTCCAAAATGGCTGTATGAGTTTGCACTCCCACCAGCAGTGGAGGAGTGTTCCACTTTCTCCACATCCTCTCCAACATAAGTCATCACTGGTGTTTCTAATTTTAGCCATTCTGGCAGGGGTAAGATGGTATCTCAAAGTTGTAAAACAACTTCTGTTAGGACTTCTATGTTTCTTTTTTTTTGGTGTGGCGAGGTAAAAGAAACCTTACTCAGAAATTCTATCATGCCTACAATATTGTACTTCCTCGATATGGTTAACACATAGAAAAAGAAAAATCAGATTTTCTGAACCACTTGTTATGCAATACAGATGGTCCTGTAAGGAGAACAGGATCAACTTAACATTTTTTCTATTGGGCCTTAAGTGATATGCTAAACTATGTCCTTGTTCTTTACTCTATGAGTTTAATTTTAATTTCCAGTAGCAAAAAATAGACACGGTACTATGAATTTGCAGATCACAAAGGATTATAATATTTTAACTACTCCAGTTATGTTAAGAAATAATATAACTGTAGTCTTCATAACTGAGGTTGTTTTAAATTGGCATTCTCCTGTCTGGAGTGTGTGTGTGTGTTTTAATAAAAATGAATGAAAAAAGTGTTTATACTGGGGCCTGACTCTTTTTGAAAACAGTTATATACAAGAGGATTTTTTTCAGATCCATTAAAGACTGAATGTCCTCTGCAATTTTGCTATGGAAAGAGATTTTTTGGATATGTTCTTATCTCTCCAAAGAAGGCAAAGACTTGCACAAGCATAGACATTACAGGAAAGTCAATCACAGAAAGAACAATAAGGTTACAATTACATAATTGTTTTCACCACTGTAAGACCTCCATACAGCTTTCCACATCTTATTGGTCATTGTATCAGGATACAATATATCAAACAGAAACACACTCTCAGTTCTGGACTAGAATAATATATAAGACACTAACAAGACTTACAGAATACATCTAACATATCCTGATGTTTGGTTATGATCTCTGGAAATCTGCTTAAACATTTCAACCCATGGAACATGTTTTAGAGATAGGTATGACAATTTAGTTTTGAGTGTAATTAGACCCACTTGAAATATTTTTGTACTATAAGGAAGAGCCTTTAACATGATTAGAAAAGAGGGAGTACCACAATACAAAATAAACTGTCTTAACCATTGAAACTATGCTTCCATGTATCCCAGCCGGCACATAATCTCTGTGGCTTTACACAGCCCTCTTTTTCTTCCTTTCCTTTCTTGTTTTCAGGAATATTTCATGGAATCATGATAGCCCATGACTGTGTTTATATCCTGGGCATCTAGGGTTTAATCATATCCACATTCATCAGTTACTGGAAAAAAATGGAATTTTGAATAGCTAAAAAGGAGACAGGTAACAATGCAAGAAATATGAAATACATTTCTAAGCTACAGTTTTCATTTTTTCCATTGAGAGTTTTATGCATATATCTAATGTGTTTTGATCAATTTGATTCGCTCTCCCTACTCTTCAATTCCTTCTCAAACACTAATCTTATTCCCATAACCACTTTATTAATTTTCAAAATCTTCTCAGTCTACTTAGTCCTGACAGTGACTATGAGTGTAGGATCATCTATTAGAGAACTGACAACCTAAATACTTGCTGGAAAAATATGAATATCTAAATATCCATGGATTAGTTCAGTTACCAAAAATCATCAAAGTAGCTTCTTTTACAGTTAGTAGTGGTTAATACAGAATATTGCAACTGGTCAAAGTACAGAGAATACAAAACTTTGGGATTTTCAGGCCTACATAAACTATATTTCATTGCAGGTTTTAGCTTATTTAAACTGTGGTATCTATAAAGTTGGTACTTCTATAGTGACAGAATTCATTTTGCAAATCTCCTGCAATGATCATTATTTATAAAATTCAGTATTTCTCTTACTCACCACAATGTAAATGGCTTCTATTCTTACTGTTTCCACTGGAAAAAAAGATAGAAAGTTTAGACATACTCTAACCAATAGGAGATTTCTGATGCAGGACTGAAACATTTATGCTGTGCCTCTAATCCTAAGGCAATATGTCCTCTATTGGAGCTTAGTGAAACTATTACTATTAAAATGACATTTCATGTTTTGTTGACAAAACCCAATTGTTAAGATATCAGGTATGTTATGTTGTTGCATCTCATGAATGAAAGGACATGGGTAGGTACAATGATTACATTTAATCTAGAAAACAAATGTTGATTAGTACTAGTAATTTTCTGTAGTCATGTATTGTTAAACACGAGACTACTTGTGACATGGACAGGCAAAAACATTTCAAATAATTTCTTGATAATATAAAACCCACTGCCTAAATGAGGTCTACCACAGGTAATGTCTGTTCCTTAAATTGTTTGACCTGGGCATAACTATTTGACTGAAAGACTTATAAACATGTTTTAATGTAATTATTACACTTTACAGAAAATATGTCAAATTCTTATTGGCCAGCATGGATGTAGATAAAATGTGTGTCTTGAAAAAAGTTGTGGGTTAAATGAGGCAGAGGGGAAGAAGCAAGGGCTTATATCATTTCCTTAGAACCAAAGATATGTAAATTATTTTTTAAAAAATTTCTTAATCAGCATATATTAGCATTGTGATACATTCAGGCAAAGCATGTTTAATGCTTCTTATTTTCTCCATCTCCTTAAGATCTGCTACCTTTGTTTCCTTTGCAGCTTCCTAGACCATTTTCTGTTACTGTTTATGCCCCATGTCCTTTTGCCCACTGGCCATCCTTATTTCTCATATGTTATTTTCCACTTTTGGTTCCCTCTCTACAATGACAGTTTTAGCTACAATTGCACCTTTTAAAATATAGACACATATACATTGTGTATAATTCAAATAAGAGGGAGAATGTGTGATCTTGTTTTCTCTCTAAAATTGGTTTACCGGACAATATATAGTACCTATAGATTAGTTCAATTAGTTTTCTACTTTATCAAGGGAGAATGATAACACATAAGGTCTGCATTTTACCATGATCACAGAAAGTTTAACACTAAGGGTATGTAGCTTTCCAGCATCTGCCCAGTGTTTTAATCTCTAAAGGTGTGTAGAGAAGTAGTTAGATACAAATGAAAATACATTGTTTCAGAGACTCAGAAATATTACTGCCTATCTGAAGATAGATAGTATGAACCATTGCCTTATAAACACTTGAACTGAAATTACCTATATATTCTTTAAAGCCTGATTTGTGTTTACTTCTCAACTATTTTAAAAGGCAACCAAGGATTATAAAAAGCCAAAACATAACATGTGATTCAGAATTCTGTCTCATGAGTCTCTCAGAAGATCCACACCTGCAGCCCATCCTTGTTGGACTCTTCCTGTCCATGTACCTGGTCACAGCGCTTGGGAACCTGCTCATTATCCTGGCTGTCACTAATGACTCCCACCTCCATACACCCATGTACTTCTTCCTTGCCAACTTGTCCTTTGTTGACATCTGTTTTATCTCCACCACAGTCCCAAAGATGACTTTGAACATTCAGACACATAGTGAAGCTATCACTTGTGTAGGCTGCCTGACACAAATGTCTCTTTTTATACTGTTTCTAGTTATGGATGACATGCTTCTGACTGCCATGGCCTATGACCAGTATGTGGCCATCTGTCACCCCCTGCATTATCCAGTGATTATGAACCCTTGCTTCTGTGTTTTCTTGGTCTTGGTATCTTACTTTATTAGCTTTGTTGGCTCCCAAGTGCATAATTTGATTATTTTACAATGTACCTACTTCAATAGCATAGACATTTTTAATTTCTTTTGTCACCCTTCTCAGGTTTTTAATATTTCCTGTTCTGATACTTTTACCAAAAATATAGTGACATATTTTGTTGGTGCTATATTTGGTTTTCTACCTGTCTCGGGAATCGTTTTTTCCTACTGCAAAATTTTTCCTCCATTATGAAAATCTCTTAATCAGGTGGACAGTATAAAGTCTTCTTTACCTGTGGGTCTCACCTGTCTGTTGTATGTTTATTTTATAGAACAGGCATTTGGGAGTATCTTGGTTCAGCTCTGTCACACTTTCCCAGCAATAGCATCATGGCCACATTAGTGTACACTGTCATTACCCCTATGCTGAATTCCTTCATTTATAGCCTGAGGAACAAGGATTTTGTTAGTGCTCTGAAGAGAGTTTATAGGAAGACAATTTAATCTCAGTCATCTTGTCTTCACCTGGAAAATATGTTAGGATATACTCAAAATTTTACTATTTAAAACTTCACTTATGTCCACCCTTGTTTTTTTCCAAATGCAGAGGTCATGAAGTACATTTTACTTGGAATACTAATACATGTTGCAAATTGAATGTGTTTTTAAAAATATACTTATAGTAACCCTAAAAAACAAAACACAAATATTCCCCTTATAATCCTCACTCCTTTGAAACTTCCATGGGTTAGTTAATTTTCTTTGAAATATATATTAGCTTCTTGTAGTATTGCATAGTTGAGTTGTTGAAGTCTACTTTCAGTAGAATAATTAGATTTTAGACAACTTCTACATATTCTAAATACCTGTCAATATTTTCTTTCATGGTTATTAAAGTATCTCGGGAGTGATATCACTTTTTCCTAATAACATTAAATAAGGTATCATAATTTTGTACTTTCTCAGAAATATTGCCACATTTGAGTTTTTCTCAACAATCTCACCATCTTTTCCAGTATTTGTTGCTCATTGGAAGGGGGGAATTGACACAATTAATTCCTAACCCTCTATGTCTGCTGGTGGGGTCTAAATATAATGTTATGTTATTTCTTCTTTGTATACATCTTTTAACATTTTACTGCATTTAAAAGTTTTAGTATCCTCTGTCTTGACCCTTAGTAGCAGAAGTTGTATTTTAGGCATATCCACAGGAACTGATGTGTCCATGATTATTTGACATCTGCATTTTGACAAATTTCTGGTTTTAACTATTACAGTCCCCTATTTCAAGTGAGTTATTAGTTAAGGCAGTCCAATAGACTCCCCAAACAATACAGACTATTGCATTTGACCTTAGTTACTTCAAAGTGTCACAGATCTAGCAATTGGCACATATCTGTACTCTCAGAATGAAATTAAAGTGGTCCACAGTCCAATTCCAGAAAGAATGTCATATGAAGTGCACAGTCTTTGTTTACTCATTCATATTTTTTCTTATTCCATTTTCTTCAAAATATCCCATTATTGTCTTTCCAAACTGTGTTAAGTCTCCTTTGTCTCAGTTTCCTACATTCCTTTTTGAAATGGATTCCACCAACTTACAATTAATTTATCACAGCAGTAACCCAAATCTAAGTATGCATTCTTACTATTAGTTACTACCTCATTACTGTCATCAAGTAAATGCCATAGATGTCATAAGGGATATAGGATTTATTTAGCCTATGCTTTTAAAGAACACATGGCATCAAGTAAAGGAATACATGGTAGAGTTGTTCAGTGTGGTGTGGAAGAAATGTGTAGTTGTCACTATTAATATGTTGGATGACTAGGAAATAGAGATTGGCATCAGAAGTGAAACTGACATGCAAACCTCAAGGGTTCACCTATACACCTACATATACCTGCCAGATCAGCACAACCAGCTAGGTATAAATATTTCCAGCACATGAGACTATGTGTAAATCTTCTGACCCGAACTCTAACAGATGCAGAACAATGTAAAAGTAATCAATGTGATGATGGGAGATGTCATTCTGTAAATATGTTTCCCATACTGGTTAATGAATAAAGCACTGTTGGCCAATAGGAAAGCAAGATAGGCGGGACCAGAAGACAAGGAGGAGAGAGGAAGTAGTAAGGAGGAGTCAAGATGGAGAGTCTGGAGAGAGCAGAACCACCAGCTGCCTCTCCCCAGTAAGATAAGACCACGTGGAAATACATAGAAATGGGTTAATAATTAAGACAGAGCTAGCCAATAAGAAACTAGTACCTGGCCAACAGCATTATATCAAATACAGAGTCTTGGTGTGTTAATTGGGGCTGGTGCGGCGGCGGGACAAGACTGGCCAGGCTGGCGGAAGAACCTTACTCCTTATAATATGAAGAAAGTGGTTGCTTAATGAGAAGTGCATAATTTTCTTACTGATATTTTGTCATAATAAAAGTACCAAAAACTAAATGAATCAGTAGAAAGTGCTTTTTAAAAACACATTTTGTATTAGTTTGTACACTGTCTGGTTTTTATAAGGCTTTTTAATTTTCCTTAGTTTTGGTATATACACCCACAACCTCCTTCTGTTCTCCCATCGCCCTGTTCCTATTCTACCTTGCAATTGCAATTCCTTTTATTCCACCACACTCTTTCATTCATATTACATTTGCCGTGGGAGTTTGTCAGCTATAAATGAACTCAGACATATCTGAAAAGAGGAAATCTTTTTTATTATTTGATATATATTTAAAATACTTTACATATTGATCCCAATTCCCTCACCCTCCCCTCCTTCCGTGCCTCCCACTGACACCCCCCCATCCACTCCTAGGGAGGGTAAGGTCTTCCATAAGAGATCATCAAAATCTGTCAAGTCATTTGGAGTAGGGCCTAGGACCTCCTCCGTGTCTCTATGTTAAGGGAGTGTCCCTCCATGGGAAATGTGCTCCTGAAGTCTATTTCTGCACTAGAGATACATCCTAGTTCCACTGTCAGAGGTCCCATAGACTGCCCAGGCCTCCTTATTGAGAACCACTCTCAATAAGGTTCTGGGTGTGTTCTATTCTGGTTTCCCAGCTATCAGTCTGGGGATCCATGAGCTCCCCCTTGTTCAGGTCAGCTGTCTCTCTGGGTTTCTGTAGCCTGGTCTTGACCCCTTTTCTTATCACTCCTCCCTCTCTGCAACTGGATTCTGGGAATTTGGCTCAGTGTTTAGCTGTGGGTGTCTGCTTCTGCTTTCTTTAGCTACTAGACGAGGGCTCCAAAATGGCATATAATGTAGTCATCAATCTCATTACCAGGGAAGGGCATTTAAGGTAGCTTCTCCACTATTGCTTAGATTGTTAGTTGGGGTCATCCTTGTAGGTCTGGACATTTCCCTAGTGGCAGATTTCTCTATAAACCTATAATGGCTCCCTCTATTATGGTATCTCTTTTCTTGCTCTCTTCTATTCTTTCCCCCAACTCAATCTTCCTGCTCCCTCATGCTCTCCTCTCTCCTCATCTTCTGCCATTTTTTCCCTCCTAACTCCCTCTTCCCCCTCACTGCTCCCAATTTGCCCAGGAGATCTTGTCCCTTTCCCCTTCTGTGGGGGGCCATGTATGTCTCTCCTATGGCCCTCCTTGTTTCCTAGCTTTTCTGACAGTGTGGATTGTAGGCCCGTGGTCCTTTGCTCTATGTTTAAAATCCATATATGAGTGAGTATATACCATGTTCCTCTTATTTTGTGACTGGGTTACCTCACTCAAGATAGTTTCTTATAGTTCCATCCATTTTCCTGTGAATTTCAAGATTCCATTGTTTTTTCCCTTCTGAGTAGTATTACATTGTGTAAATGTGCCACATCTTCTTTGTCCATTCTTCAGTTGAGGGGCATCTAGGTTGCTTTCAGGTTCTGGCTATTACAAATAATACTATTATTAACATAGTTGAACAGATGTGAAAAGAGGAAATCTTAATTGAGACTATTCCTCTAAAATTTGGCCTATAACTGAGTCTGTGGGGTGGGGTGGGGGTGCCACTTCTAAGCAGAAGGTCTTGGATGGTATATGAAACAGGCTCAGCAAGCCACGAGGGACAAAGCAGTAAGTAGTGTTTCTTCACATCTTCTGCGTTGGTTCTTACCTACACATTTATGGTGTGAGATCTTACCTTTTCTTTCTTTTCATACTGGACTATAACTGTAAGCTAAAATAAACTCTCAAGCTACAAAGTTGCTTTTTAGGCATTGTGTTTCATCACAGCAATAAAATGTAATCAATACATATGTGTTCTACTATCCCTACAGTTGGACATGCACTAACCTATGAGTATAATGACAAGTTCCTTGGAGTAGCATTGTAACCCCTTTGGAGGTTAAATGACTATGGTGGATAAATAAGAACCTGGGAAAACAAATAGGCTGATGGATGTTTATTTGGGGAGAAATGATTTACACCAGAAACAGATGACTGCCAGCAGGTTCCCATCCCAAGGATGCCTCCAGATGCTCTCTGTCTCCAACCAGGAAGCAAGTACAGTGCTGGGGTCCAGGACCCCAGACCTAGTTCCCCCCAGGTCATGCCCACATCTGCCTCCATGTCCCAATGGTTGTGGTCAGTGCAACAGGTGTGGGCAGGGTGGATATATTACTACAATTCCCCTTTTAGAGGAATATATTACTACAATTCCCCTTTTAAAGAAAAGATTTAGGCTTGATATAAAACTACATACAAAGACAGTAAATATAAAGTATGCTCTAAGAAAAGGAAAATTAAGAACATACAAACTGAAAACCTACATATCTAGTCCTAGGGTGAAGGCATAACAGAGATTATTATAGAGTTATCCTAACCTGGAAACTTTAAGTCTAGTACCTAATATTTCTATCTAGGAAGAGAGAAGAATATTTGTGAAAGTCAAATCTTTAACCTCATCAAACAAAGACCTGAGAAGGAAGATAACAATACTAGGGTAGGCAGGAAGGGCAGGCCAGCAGCTTCCAAACTGTGCAGTGAAGACAGGAACAGCAGACTACTTGAACAGCCACCTCAAGTCTGACAGCAACATTGGTGCAACCAGTTTTGGCTAAGGCCTAGAGTAACTGACAGACCACTACAGAAGCAGGGAGGTAGAAAGGCTATCTTATCCTGACTTGGCAAGGTTAAGCAATCTTCTATGTTTGTCTCCTGCAAGCACATTAGGACAGTGTGTTCAAGGTCAGTGGTCGAGGTGGGGGCAGTTCTTTTCCCAAGAGGCCATTAGCCGAGGAGAGGATGGACTCCAGAAGGAGTGAAATTAGTGCCCAACATATTCTCATCTTAGTGCAGTCAGGAGAAATAGTGTCTCATGTCAATGGAGTACTAAATGCAGAACATTTAAATGCCATATTCTGCAGGTCTATGAAGTATAAGAAATGTGGGTGAATTAATCTAGCTATATGAATGGTTGAAACTTTCCTAAGTAATAGCAGGGACAATTATTTTAGCAATATACATACATACATACATACATATGTATATGTAAATCTTT